CTGTCTGTAATATCTGGACCCTACCTGCCCGGCGGGGATGGGGGTCGGAGCATGCTACCCCTGCAGGGTGTGTGGGGGAGGGAGTGTAGCCTGGGAGGGCGCGTGGTGTCGAGCAGCTAACCCTAGCCCCAGGCGCGGCCGCTTACGATCAATGTGGATCCCTGCCGAGGCGATGTTCACATGCTCCCCGTAGTTGGCGAAGCAGAGGGGCGCCAGGGTCCACGTCTCAACTTTGTGGATAGTCAGGGCCCCCCAGCCGGCACCTTCGGCACCGATGTCCCCTGGCCCAGGCGGGCGCGACGGGTGCGCGAGCTGGTGCAGCCCGGAACCGAGGCGCTCCCAAGGTCACGGCAGGGCCTTGGGGGACGATCCTCATGCCACAGGGTGCACTGGGGAGGGGCGGCCAGACGCAAGAGACGGAAGGGCGGAGAAGGGGACTCGTTAGGACACCAGCAGGGCTCTCGGGGATGCTGCAGGCACAGTCTCCCCAAAACCCCTAAAGGCCCCGCAAGAGCAGCCTGTGGGGCGGGATCGTGTGAGAAGTTACTGTGGGCCCCGGGCTGTGATGCACCTGAATACCCATGGGCCAGAGCCCGAGCTGCCGTGAACTGACCGTTCTGCTGGCTTCAGTGGGCTTTCCACCGTCTGCACCAGCCCCTTGCCTCTGTCCTCTGCTGCAGGACTCCCTCCATTGAGAGTAATGTTGGTGAGATCCCCACAGGGCGGGACCCTGAACAGGCCCCGCAAGCCCCATCCCTGCAGCGAAATCACTTCCTGTCCCAAAACACTGGGCAGCCGGGAAACACCTCCTGGAGCCCAGCTGGCTGCATCTCAGCGCTGAGAGAGCGCTCCCTGGGCAGCATTGCTGTGCACCTGTTATCTAGCTGCCATGTCCCACCCCAGAAATGGGTGCATTTCAGCTTTGGGCAAGTGAGCCCTGTGCAGCACGGCTGCATGGCTGTTAAACACCTCCTGTGTCTCACCCCAGAAGTGCATGCCTTGCCACACCGTGCGGGCATTCCCTGAGCAGCACTGCCCTGTGGCTGTTAAACTGCTGCCATCCCCCACCCCAGAGGCAGCTGCATTCCAGTGGCAGGTGCAGCAATCCTTGTTTATCCCTTATCTGCTTCACCCAAGGGAGGCTCAGAGGATTAACCTGGCTTTGCACAGTGGGAATGAACCTTGCTGGGGCACTGCGGGGTGCTCGGACTGGGGGTTATTTCCTTTAGAAGAGAACCAAGCTGGGGCATATCTGCTAATGCGGGGAGCGGCCGCTCTTTCCAGGAAATGCTGCTGGACACAGAACCCTGCTGCTCTGTGCCAGCCGACTTCAAGGCTTCCCCTCCAGGATGTGGGTGTAACTGCCCTGCCGGCTTGGTACATGCCAGCAGGAGAGGAGCACAGTGGGAAGTTATAAACAAAACCTTTCTCTTTCCCCTCAGTGAAACCTCCCTGGACCCGACCCTAGAGATCCCCCAAACTGGAGGAAAATCCGCAAGATGCTGAACAGTTTGAAGCACCTGCTCTAACCTGCTTCCTGTGCCCTCTTGCCATGCAAACTCCCTCCTGTTGGCACGCTCGCCAGCGTGTGCAGAGCAGATCCTGCCTTCACAGACGCTTTTCCCCACTGTGTTTACGGCTTCAAACCTTTGGGCTGGCTTTCTACTGTTCATACGAACTACAGGGAGTGGAAACTTGAACCAAGGTTGTATCCTCTGCACCTGTGACGGCTTCCTGCCACTCGATGGATCTGCCTTGTACAGAAATGTGTGTAGCTACGACCTGTTCAGTGCTATGGAAATACGAGGAGCTACGTGTGTGCCTGGGACAAGATGGACACAGTCTGCCAGGGCTTGTCACTAATCCCAGAACCCAAAACCGGGGGGTGGGGCTGGGGGCTGGCAGGACCTTTGAGTCCAGCCCTCTGTGCTGAGGCAGGACCAAGCAAACCTGTTTACTATAGAATCATAGAACTGGAAGGGATCTCAAGAGGTATCTAGTCCCGTCCCCTGTACTCAAGGCAGGACTAAGTATTATCTAGACCATCCCTACCAGGGGTTTGTCCAACCTGCTCTTAGAAACCCCCAGTGATGGAGATTCCACAACCTCCCTGGGCAATTTCTTCCAGTGCTTCACCACCCTGACAGTCAGGAAGTTTTTCCTAATGGCCAACCTAAACCTTCCTGGCTGCAATTTCTGCCCATTGCTTCTTGTCCTATCCTCAGAGGTTAAGAAGAACAATTTTTCTCCCTCTTCCTTGTAACAACCTAGGATGCATTTCATCAGGCCCTGGTGATCTGAAGACATCTAACCTGTCTAAGTAAGTATGGACTTGTTCTTTCCCTATTTTAGACTCTGGTCCTACCTCATTTTCACTGGCGCTCACTATGTTAGACGTCCAGTTGCCACCAATCTTCTTGGTGAAAACTGAAACCAAAGAAGTCATGAAGCACCTCTGCCATTTCCACATTTTCTGTTATTGTCTTTCCCCACTCACGGAGTAACGGGCCTGCTCTGTCCTTGGTCTTCCTCTTGCTTCTAATGTAGTTGTAGAATGTTTTCTTGTTTCCTTTTATGTCCCTACCTAGTTTGATCTCGTTTTGTGCCTTGGCCTTTCTAATTTTGTCCCTACATACTTGTGTTATTTGTTTATATTCATCCTTTGTCATTTGACCAAGTTTCCACTTTTTTGTAGGACTCCTTGTTGAGTTTCAGATCACTGAAGATCTCCTGGGTAAGCCAGGGTGGTCTCTTGCCAGACTTCCTGTCTTTCCTATGTAGTGGGATAGTTTCCTCTTGTGCCCTTAATAATGTCTCTTTGAAAAACTGCCAAATGGCTTCCAGTATTTTCCCCCTTAGACTTGCTTCCCATGGGGTCTGACCCACCAACTCCCTGAGTTTGGTAAAGTCCAACTCCTTGAAATCCATTGTCTGTATTGTGCTGTTCTCCCCCCTACAATTCCTTAGAATCGTGAACGCCACCATTTCATGATCACTTTCATGGTACAATAGTTTGCCCAGCACTTTGAGGTCCTCAGACACCGCTGCTATCAGGGAATTATTATGAGTGAGTCTGCGTTATTCGGTACGTTACCCACCTCCCTGTGTTCATCCTGCCAGCTAGGAAGAGACTTGGATCTACTCTGGAGTTCTGCAAAGAAGCAAACGGCTCCTGCGCCCAGCCTGGCTGGAGCGGTTAGACTCACCAGCCGGCAGCCAGCAGCAGGGCCGGCTCAGGCCCAGACGGGGTCATTTTCACCTGACTCCGAGTCCTGAGCTAGTCCCCTTCGGTTGGGCGTGTGGGGCAGGGATACAGCACAGCCGCCTTAGACCTTCTGCTCACACCTTGTTCCCCTCCCTCCCTCTGTCACACTGACTCATCTGCACCTCCAGTGCAAGCCTTGTAGCCCCCTTTCCATGCCAAACGGGATCCCTGCCCTGCCCCCTCTCCAACGTGGGCTCGAGGACTTCCCGAGGTCCCTTCCTGTGATTCCCAGCCCATCGCTGTTCTGTTCTGGGAAGGGTTTTGCCCTTTCCAGGTGCACGGGTGACAGAGGGGCAGGTCCTTTCTGGGTATGCCATGTAGACTGGTGCCAATCGGTGCCACCCCTGCCCAAAGCGGAAGAATCACCAGCGGCTACTCAGAGGTGCAGGGGCCTGAGGCTGGATTTGGCTCGTGGTGCCTGGGTTTGGTTTTAATCTAAACTTTGAATGATTCAGGGTCACCAACATCGGGAGGTTCCTGCCCTGCTTAGAATTGAGCTGCGCCCACCCCAAACGCCCCGGCTCGTTCCATGCAGGGGACACAGACGAGTTAGCTCCCTAATGAGCTGGGGCTGGCTGCAAACCAGCAACCGACAAGGGAAAGGGCCCGTGTCCCACTGCGGGGCCCCTCGAACGCCCGTGAGCAATACTAAGCGTCATTAACAATGACTAATGCCCGGAGCTGAGACAGGCTTGGTGCTTTACCGTGCCAAGCGCTAACTCCTCCATGGGCGCCCACGGGGGCTGCTCCAGGGTGGGGGGTCGTGAGCCGCACACAGAACAGAAGGTGCCCAGAGAGTCGGTTTATTTGACCCCAACAAAACCAAGAACCAACGTGAGCCACGGGGGAGCATGGTGTGACCTGGGCGTCTGGACTGGCCCCGCGGTAAATGTAACGGCCCCAGGGCCCAGGAAAAACGCTGGAACTGGGGAAAGCTGAAAAGAACTGAAATTTCCAAGTGTTTCTTCAGCAGGGCTCAAAATGGAACAATTTCAAATTAAAAAAATCAGATTTTTGGAATGGGTGAAATTTTGAAATTCGCACACGCCCTGTTGTGCCAGACACGCGTGCACACGGGCACCGGGGCGAGACACCCTGGAGAGCTGCGGCCCGGCTTGGCTCCTCTGCTCGGTCCCAGCCCACCAGCCGGGGCACATCAGGGAAAGGGCCGTGACCCCACCGGCCCCCAGAACCAGTCCCCCGCGGTGAGGGCTTCGGGCTCTGTCACGGAGTCCCTGGGCGATGCTCTGGAACGGCTCCCCATGAAGCCAGGCAGGACTCTGGGGAAGTCTCCTCTCTGGGAGCAGCCTGTCTGCAGGACTCACAGCTCACCCGGCTTCCACCTTCCTGGGTCTGACCTCGGACCATTCAGCCTCCTCTGCCCCTCCGTGCGCTTCCCACAGCGAGTCCGCCCATGCGGGGTCCTGGGGAAGCCAGAGGGTCCTGCCCCCCAACTCCGCAGTCAGACGTGACTCTCAGCCAGCCAGTAAAACAGAAGGTTTATTAGACAACACGAACAGGATCTAAACCAGAGCTTGTAGGTGCAGAGAACGGGACCCCTCAGCTGGGTCCATTTTGGGGGGCAGTGAGCCAGATAACCCCGTCTGCCCTTCACTCCATGTCCCCAGCCAGCCCCAAACTGAAACTCCCTCCAGCCCCTCCTCCCCTGGGCTTTGTCCTTTCCCGGGCCAGGAGGTCACCGGATTCCTTTGTTCTCCAACCCTTTAGCTCTCACCTTGCAGGGGGGGAAGGGCCCAGGCCATCAGTGGCCAGGAAACAGGGTGTCGGCCATTCTCTGTGTCCAGACCCCTGCACACACCTGCCCTCTAGGGCTCTGCAAGGATCATACACCCTTATCCCACCCCCTAGAGACTTAAGAACTGCACAGGGGAAACTGAGGCACCCCCACAATATTCGGAGGAAACATTAAGAACAGTCCCACTTCGTCACAGGCTCACACACCTCTGGGCTCCTCCTTCTCCTCACCCAAAGCTTCAGGCCCATCACTGCCCAGCGCTTCCCCCTGCCCTGAGTCGCCCTCCCCACCGTGGGCTGGCGGGGGCAGCCCTGGACCGCAGCTGCCCCGGGCCGCAGCTACGACTTCATGAAGCGTCTTCTCACAAGCCACAGGCCTGCGCCGCCGAGAACCGAAATCACCCCCAGCACCGCTACGATTATCATGATCCCGTGCCTTTGCTCAACTGTAGGCAGGAGAAACAGGAGTCAGGGGGGAGCCCCAGCTTGCCTCCCTCTCCCCCTCCCTCCCCCCCAGAGCCCGGGTGCCCCTTACCCCAGCCCCACAGAGCCTGGGTGCCCCTTTGTCCCCCCCCCCACAGGGCACAGGTGTCCCTGAGCTGCCTCCCCCCGCACAGGGCCTGGGTGCCCCTGAGCTGCCCCCCAGCACACACAGGGCCTGGGAGCCTCCCTGCCTGCCGTCCCCAGCCGCCCCTCCTGGGGCACTGCGGGACACGGTAGCCCTGTCTCGGTGGCCCCCAGCCAGTCCTTGCTGTCTGCCCTGACAAGAAGGGGGTCAGACCAAGCCGGCAGGGCTGGGGACCCTGCCCCAGACAGAGACCACCCCCCGGCCCAAGGAATAGCCACCGCCAGGACCCACAGACACGTCACGAGGGAGCCAGTGACCGAGGCAGGCCTGGAGCCCGTGGCTCCGGGTCCCAAGCTGGGACAGTGCTCCCAGCCTTGGGCCCGGCTCTGGGGGCTGGCACGGAGCCCCTCCACAGAGGGGAAGGAAGGAGCCCTGGCCCCCAGGGGTCTGGTGCAGCTTCCGCACCCCCTGCTCAGCCCTTCACGCGGCCGGGAAGGAGGAATGGCCAGGGAAAGCCAATAGGACACCACTGCCCGCACCTATGCTGATGTTCACGTGCCCTGAGCTGGCCCCGTATCTGTTCTGTGCCAGGCACTGGTAGGTCCCGCTGTGGGCGCGCTGGGCCGAGTGCACCGTCACTGTCCGGCGGCGGTCAGACAGCTCCACGCTGGCGTTGGAGGGCAGATCCCAGAGCAGCTCGGGCAGGGGGTTCCCCTCGGCGCTGCACCGCACCGTGAAGTTAGCGCCGACGCCGAACTCCAGCTGCTCCACGGAGATCTTCACGCTGTGGGGCAGGGCTGGGAGGGCAGGGGGAGGGCAGGGGTCAGCAAGGATGGGCCGGTTGGGAGTAGGCCTGGGGGGGGCTGATCCCCACCTCCCACCCATGTGCCCCACACCATCAGGCTTGCCCCGGTTTTCTCCTGGCCGCCCTGCCAAGGGGGCGATGGGTATCACTGTCCCGGCGCTACTGTGGGAGCAGTGCTGGGAGTCGGGGCTCCAGGGTCAGAGTCCCAGCTCGGGGTGGGATCAGAAAAGGGAACCCTGCTGGGGCTGCTGCAAAGGGAGGGGGGTCTAGTAGTTATAGGCAGGTCTTGGGAGCCAGGACTCCTGGGTTCTATCCCTGGCTGTGGGAAGTAATTTTGTTTCTTATTTCCATGGTCACAGAAAGACTCAAAAAGAAATAGCAAAAAAAATTTAAGTAGATCAGAAGCAGGAAGCCTGCTAACAACCAGTGGGTCCGCTGGATGATCGAGATGCTAAAGGAGCACTCAAGGACAATAAGGTCCTTGCAAAGAAACTAAATTAATTCTTTGCATCGGTCTTCACGGCCAAGGACGTGAGGGAGATTCCCAAACCTGAGCCATTCTTTTTAGGTGACAAATCTGAGGAACTGTCCCAGATTGAGGTGTCATTAGAGGAGGTTTTGGAACAAACTGATAAATTAAACAGTAACAAGTCACCAGGACCAGATGGGATTCACCCAAGAGTTCTGAGGGAACTCAAATGTGAAATTGCAGAACTACTAACTGTGATCTGTAACCGATCATTTAAATCAGCTTCTGTACCGAATGACTGGAGGGGAGCTAATGTGATGACAATTTTTAAAAAGGGCTCCAGAGGAGACCCTGGCAATTACAGGCCGGTAAGCCTGACTTCAGTACCGGGCAAACTGGTTGAAACGATAATAAAGAACAAAATTGTCAGACACATAAATCAACATAATTTGTTGGGGAAGAGTCAACATGGTTTTTGTGGAGGGAAATCACGCCTCACCAATCTACTAGAATTTTTTGAGGGGGTCAACAAACATGTGGACAAGGGGGATCCAGTGGATACAGTGTACTTAGATTTTCAGAAAGCCTTTGACAAGGTCCCTCACCAAAGGCTCATAAGCAAAGTAAGCTGTCACGAGATAAGAGGGAAGATTCTCTCATGGAACAGTAACTGGTTAAAAGACAGGAAACAACGGGTAGGAATCAACGGTTAGTTTTCCGAATGGAGAGAGGTAAATAGCGGTGTCCCCCAGGCGTCTGTACTGGGCCCAGCTCTATTCAACATAATCATAAATGATCTGGAAAAAGGGGTAAACAGTGAGGTGGCAAAATTTGCAGATGATACAAAACTACTCAAGAGAGTTAAGTCCCAGGCAGACAGTGAAGAGCTACAAAAGGATTTCGCAAAACTGGGTGACTGGGCAACAAAATGACAGATGAAATTCAGTGTTGATAAGTGCACAGTAATGCACATTGGAAAACATAATCCCAACTATACCTCTAAAATGATGGGGTCTAAATTAGCTGTAAACACTCAAGAGAGGGATCTGGGAGACACAGTGGAGAGTTCTCTGAAAACATCCGCTCACTGGGTAGCAGTCGTCAAAAAAGCGAACAGAATGTGGGGAATCATTCAGAAAGGGAGAGATCATAAGACAGAAAATGTCACATTGCCTCTATAGAAATCCATGGTACAAATCCAGTATTCATCCTTGAATCCTGCGTGCAGACGTGGTCACGCCATCGCAAAAGAGAGCTAGTGGAATTGGAAAAGGTTCAGAAAAGGACAAAGAAATTATGAGGGGGATGGAACGGCTTCTGTATGAGGAGACATTAATAAGACTGGGAATTTTCAGCTTGGAAAAGAGACGACAAAGGGGGAATATGACAGAGGTCTGTAAACTCATGCCTGGTGTGGAGAAAGTAAATGAGGGAGTGTTATTTACTCTTCATAACACAAGAACTAGGGGTCACGCAATGAAATTAACAGGCAGCAGCTTTAAAACAAACAAAAGGAAGTATTTCTTCACACAACGCACAGTTAACCTGTGGAACTCCTTGCCAGAGGATGTTGTGAAGGCCAAGACTATAACAGGGCTCAAAAAAGAATGAGCTAAGTTCCTGGACGATAGGTCCATCAATGGCTGTTAGCCAGGATGGGCAGGGACGGTGTCCCGAGCCTCTGTTTGCCAGAAGCTGGGAATGGGCGACAGGGGATGGATCACTGGGAGATTCCCTGTTCTCGTCATGCCCTCCGGGGCCCCTGACACTGGCCGCTGCCGGCAGACAGGACACTGGGCTGGAGGGACCTTTGCTCTGACCCAGTCTGGCCGCTCTGAAGTTCTTATGGTCAGGAAGCGGCACGCTAAGGACTTAGCGCACTGATCCCCACTTGCAGTAACCGAACAGCTCCTCACCCCAGACCTGCAGGGTGGCCCTGGTGCTGTAATTCAGCACCTGGGGGCCCACGCGGAGCCAGGCCTGGCACACGATTTCCTGCCCGTGCTGTGTGGGCTGTGCCACGAAGCTGTACCCCACGGCTGGGCTGCCGTGGCTCTCGCTGAGGGTGCTGCCCCCGCTGCTCAGGGTGACGTTGATGTCGGAGGGGCTGGAGCCGGACACAAGGCTGGAGACGTTGCAGGTGATTCGCTCCTGGCGACCAGCCACCATCTCAGCTCCCAGGTGGATCTCGGGGGGTGAGAATCCTGTGCAGGGGGGAGGGGGAAACAGAGGGGAATTGACCTTCCTGAAGCTTCTCCCTGCATATAACAGGCCAGGGGCTCTGCCTTCTTGTAAAGACTGTGCTTGGTGTCCGGGGAGCCAGGACTCCTGGGTTCCATTCCCAGGGGTGGGAGGGGACTGTGGGGGCTGGTGGTTAGAGCCGAGGGAGCTGGGAGGCAGGACTCCTGGGTTCCATTCCCAGGCTGGGAGGGGACAGTGCAGGCTGGTGGTTAGAGCAGAGGGAGCTGGGAGGCAGGACTCCTGGGTTCCATTGCCAGGGGTGGGAGGGGACTGTGGGGGCTGGTGGTTAGAGCAGAGGGAGCTGGGAGGCAGGACTCCTGGGTTCCATTGCCAGGGGTGGGAGGGGACTGTGGGGGCTGGTGGTTAGAGCAGAGGGAGCTGGGAGGCAGGACTCCTGGGTTCCATTGCCAGGGGTGGGAGGGGACTGTGGGGGCTGGTGGTTAGAGCAGAGGGAGCTGGGAGGCAGGACTCCTGGGTTCCATTGCCAGGGGTGGGAGGGGACTGTGGGGGCTGGTGGTTAGAGCAAAGAGAGCTGGGAGGCAGGACTCCTGGGTTCCATTGCCAGGGGTGGGAGGGGACTGTGGGGGCTGGTGGTTAGAGCAGAGGGAGCTGGGAGGCAGGACTCCTGGGTTCCATTCCCAGCTGTGGGGGGAGCCGGTGCTGGGAGCAGAGTGCTGGGAATCCAGACTCCTGGGTTTTACTCTTTGCACTGACTTCTAGTTCTTGGAAAAGTCCTTCCCCTCCCCATGCCCCGTATCCCGTCCGCAGCACTGGGCACACCCCACCGGGAAGGGGCGGCGCTGGGGGGGCGAGTGAGCGCGCGGTTAACCCTCAGCGTACGGTACACGTGGAGCCTGGCTTTTTCGATGATGTTCGTGGAGGTGACGTAGCACTGGGGCTCCAGGTCCCACACCGCGAGGCTGGAGATGTGCAGAGACGCCCAGCCGGGTCCCTCGTTTGTCACCTTCGGCACCGACGTCTCCCAGCCCAGGTGGGCGAGAGTGGAACAGGTGCTGCTGCAGTTCAGAACCACGTGGCCCCGGAACGCCACCACCGGCTCCTTGGGCACGATGCTCAGGCCGCATGGGTCCAGGTACACTGGGGAGCAGGGCAAGAATCAGGCAGGCTCCCCCCAGCCCACGTGGCCACAGCAGCTCTCTGGGGACACCACGTGGGCCAGACCAGGCTCCCCCCATGGACCTCCCAGGCTCAGCAGCTGGCCCCACAGCCCAGGCCTCCCTTTGGGGCATCGGCCTGCGGCTCCAGCTGCAGGGCTGGTTGGGGGTTGGGGGTGGGGTGACAGCTGCATGTAGCCCCAGAGCGTGAGGAAATACCAGATCTAGGGGGGCCTTGGCAGCCTTCACCCCCCTCCTCCCGCCTTGTGATACAGCCGTTAATTAGCTGGGCCCTGGGCTGTTTTATCCCCAGGAGCCCGCCTCAGGGATGCACAAGGGGGCAACATGCCCGGCAAAGTGTTGGTCACAGTTCAGGGCAACTTCACCTGTGTTTGCCCCCCCCACCCTGTGGTCCAGCAAGGGCACTGCACTCGGGTCCCGGCTCCTCGGGCATCAGATCCGAATAGTGTGGGGGTGCCTCAGTTTCCCCTATGCAGTTCTTAAGTATCTAGGTGGTGGGATAAGGGTGTATGATCGTCACAGAGCCCTAGAGGGCAGGTGTGTGCAGGGGTCTGGACACAGAGGATGGCTGACACCCTGTTTCCTGGCAACTGATGGCCTGGGCCCTTCCCCCCTGCAAGGTGAGAGCTAAAGGGTTGGAGAACAAAGGAACCAGGTGACCTCCTGGCCCGGGAAAGGGACAAAGCCCAGATGAGTGGGGGCTGGATGGGGAGTCAGTTGGGGGCTGGCTGGGGACATGGAGTGAAGTGCAGACATGGTTGTCTGGCTTACTGCCCCACCCCCCAAATTAACCCAGCTGAGGGGTCCTGTTCTCTGTACCTACAAGCTTTGTTTTAGACCATGTTCCTGTGGTCTAATAAACCTCTGTGTTACTGGCTGGCTGAGAGTCCCGTCTGACTGCGGAGTTGGGGGGCAGGACCCTCTGGCTTCCCCAGGACCCCGCCTGGGCGGACTCACTGGGCGAAGCGCACGGATGGGCAGAGGAGTCTGAATGCTTCGAGGTCAGACCCAGGAAGGTGGAGCCGGGTGAGCTGTGTGTCCTGCAGACAGGCTGCTCCCAGAGAGGAGACTTCCCCAGAGTCCTGCCTGGCTTCCTAGGGAGCAGTTCCAGAGCATCGCCTTGGGACTCCGTGACAGGGGGAAATGACATCATGGGGGGACCTCACTCTCCCTACAACACCACACCTGGAAACACCTGATCAATAAAGACTGAACGGGGGGGAATGATGGTCCCAGGTTAAAGGGATTTCTAGCCTGTGTGTGAAAACCTGAGAAAGCCAAGGCAGCTTGTGCCTTAAGAATCTGCCAGCCTGTTTATCACTCAGGTGAGAATTTGCTCATTAATATCCTATCGAGTGTGTTAAGCTCAGTTTGCTGTTTTGTTTATTTACTACGTAATTTGTTTTGCTCTATTTGCTTTCACTTACAATCACTTAAAATCTATCTTTTGTATTGAATAAACTTATTTTTGTTTTGTCTAAAACCAGTGTGTGGGTGTAATAACTCGGGGCAGAAAGCTGTTGTGTATTTCCTCTCCACATTGAGGGAGGGGGCAAATTTCATGAGCTTGCACTGTACATTTCTCTGTGCAGTGCAAGACAATATCATTTTGGGTTTACACTCTGGGGTAACTGCAGCTGGGTGTGTCCCTACTTGTATGTGTGCTGGTAAAGTGCAGGCTGGAGCCTGGGAGAGGGCTTGGCAGGCTAGTCACAGCAGTACAGTGTAAAGGGAGGCCAGGCTGGTGGGTCAGGGGGGCTCAGTGGTACCCCAGTTCCAGGTAGCACCCCAGGGGGAACCTGTCATAGGCGTCTTGGCCCCAAATACAAGCTACTCCCCCGGCCCTTCCTAGCGCTGCTATTCCGCAGGTGAAAGCGCTACAGAGAAGACAGAGAAACGAAAGGACCGGCACAAGCGTCCTGGAGACCACCCCATGCAGTCCTGCAAGCCCCACCCCGCACTCAGAACAACAAGCACCCGAGTGACAGGTCAATCTCCACTGTACACCGCTCGGGTCTTTGGTCTTCAGAGTCTGGGAACAGCTAGTCAGCCGGACAGTGATTCTTTGCTCAGGACGTAGCCTCTGAAAGTTGGGTCTGCAGGTGGGAATTTGCTTCCCACCCATCCCCAGCTATTTTGTGGGAAACCCACTGAATTTTTCTTATCCCCAAAGTCCCTTTTTGTCTGGCACATAGTTTAAAATTGTCCTTTGATGCTCAGCCCACTTCTGAGGTCTACACTGCCCCTGTTGCCCAGCGAGAGATGCTACAGACATCCCACACCAATATGCAGACTTGGCATTTCCACGCCAATGGACCTCCCCCCAAGCTGTTTAAACTTGATTCACTCAGCGTGACGCAAGACCCAGCAGAAAATTGCCAGTCGCATCCCAGGGACGGCTCGGCCTTTCTTTGTAAATTGGGGGGGTTGGTGGTGACGTTACAAAGAAACCAAGAATAAAATCATTACAAATAACGAGTCAAAGCTAAGGGTTGTGGCTCGGCTGTAACCCACCAATCAGATCTGGGTCTTACCTACGGGTCTGAAAATATTAACTTTTTAGCCTCCCCCGGGCTCGGGTTAGGAACGGGGGCTGGAAGCCCACGGGGCAGCATGCCAGCTGGCAGAGTGCTGAGCAGGAGGTTCTGTTTCCTGCCTTAAGCCTGACCTAGGAGAAGTAATTTCCCCTTTATGGGGTTGTTTTCCTCCTTCAGTCTCTGGGAGCTTGTTGCAGTTGGACTGGTTCTCACACTGCTTCTGCACTGTGCCCGGCACAACAGGGCCCCGATTCCAGCCAGGGCTGGTGGGTGCTACCGGAATATGCTCCATCAATCTCCCCAGTGCAGAGAATCACAACCTCCAGCCATCACTAGTGCTTGGGAGGGGCCCGCAGCCAGCACAGAGCCATTCTGCCAAACGCTTTTGCCAGCCTGGGAGCGTCTCTGCTACTCTCAGGGTTTGTGTTTCAAAGCCGGCCAGCCAGCCCTGATGCTCCCTCCCCTGCAGCATCAGCCGCAGCCCGTGGGGCGCTCGGTCTAGCCCTTCGGAGCCCCTGCTCTGTGGGAGGCACCCGTCAGGGCTCGCCTCACCCCGTCTGTGCACAGTGCGAGCTGTGACAACATTGCGGTTCCAGCCAGGTCCCGGTGCCCCTCTCCAAATTACCCCGTCCCGGCTCCAGAGCTAACGGCACAAGCTGGCACCTGCCAGGCAGGTTCAGCGGCTCTGGCGCGTGGCACGGCGACACGACGGGCAAGTTGGGAAGAGAAGGTTGAACCCACGCTCGACCGCTCATCTTCCAATTCCCCAGCCTTGCGGCCTGAGCTCCGGCCAGCCCCCTGCCAGCGGACCGGAGACCTCGCAGCTTACCCAGAGGCAGGCAGCGGAGCAGAGCCAGTGTTGTCAGGCCAAGACAGAGGCAGCGACCTGTCATCCTGCACCAGGAGAACCGTGCGCCTGGAGCGGAGCGGGCCTGTGCGCCGAGTCCACCCGCAGGGCAGGCCCCACCCCTTCCTGCTCCGCGGTGGGCCCCACGTCCTGGCGTGCTCTCCCTGCTCTCTGCGAGCGACCAGCCCAGCTGCTAGGGGCAATCCCTCGAGGCCCAGGCAGGCTGGTCCCAGTGATGCTGCTCCTTGGGGCTGGCACAAGATGGGTTCAAGCCACCTTGGCACTCCCCACCCCGCAGACTCAATGCTGCTCTGACCCTCTGCTTCCCCCGGGCGAGCAGAGACTGGGCACCGTGCGTGCTGGCCGTGCACCCCTCTGCCTCCCGCACCAGGAGCTGGGTGCAGGCCTGTATGTCCACTCCACACTGGGCTGGGAGGTGACTCATAGGGGGCATTTCCACCCCTTTTATGCTGCCCAAGCGGCATCAGCCCCCAGTCTCCCCAAACTGCAACTCAATCCCCATGGTGCCGATGCCTCCGGCCTCTCAAGGGGACGCGACCTCCCCACCCCTGTGGTGCATCCCTGGGGGAGCCAGATGCTGCCCCCTCCCTGAGGGTGAGAAGCAGTAGGAGGGTAGACAGGGGTGACTGATCCATGCCGTGACCCCTTAAAGGCAGTGAAGTATCCGAGACCTTTCCACCCGGGCAGATGTCCTGGCTCTAACTCAGCCCCCTCTCTTTGGCTTCAGCTGCATACAGGCTTCTACTTCACTTCCTGTCCCAAACTGCGGGGCAGTCTTGTTGTGCAGCTGTCATGCTCCACCCCAGAGGTGGCTGCATTTCCCTGGTGAGGGAAAGGACCCGGTCAGCCCCTCCCCTGAGGTTGGGGAGCCTTGAGTTCTTTTTCTAAAACCACCAATAAAGGGCAAAGCTGCTTCTTATCACACACTGCCACAGCAGCTTCTGCAAGAACAAACATGATGACAGCATCACATGGCCCGGATGTGTGAAAATCTTGGCTAACACCATTAGGCAGACACAAGGGTCTGTCAAAGGAGGCCAGTTGCACCCTTGAGAGCAAGGGGAGGGGTTCCAGTCTGGCCTTGGCCAGGTCACTTGTTGCCTGCAGTCTGTTCACATGGCCCTACACACAGCCTCAGAAACCCAGCTGCAATGGTGATGGGCACCAGTGTAAGAAGCCAGGTGCCCGGATGATGAATCAGAGGTGTCTGTATAGGGGGCGGGGGGGGGGGGGGGATTGTATAGTCTGTATGGAGAGGTTTCAGAGTAGCAGCCGTGTTAGTCTGTATTCGCAAAAAGAAAAGGAGTACTTGTGGCACCTTAGCGACTAACCAATTTATTTGAGCATGAGCTTTCGTGAGCTACAGCATCCGATGCAGTGAGCTGTAGTTCACGAAAGCTTATGCTCAAATAAATTGGTTAGTTTTTAAGGTGCCACAAGTCCTCCTTTTCTTGTATGGAGATAGGCAGTTCTGGGGAGAGACGGAGTGACATCCAGCTGTTTAACTCTGACTTGCCCCTCTGTGTTCCGCACCTCCACCGCGGCATGGCCCTGTGTCGCGTGCACGGCGCTGGCTGTGGTAATCTGGGTCTGTTGCTCTCTGTGGCTGCCTTTCCTCTGGGGAAAAAACCAGTCTTCAAACAGGCACCGAAAGCAGCAGAAGGGAGGGGCTGGGCCCTGCGTGGACACTCCAGACCTGCTGCGACCAACCTGGCTTTCTGGAGTTCCCAGCCCAGCTGCCCGGGGCCTGAGACTGCCAGAAGGAAGGTGCTGGAAGATCATCCTGCCTGAGGTTAAAGTGTTCTGGCCTCGTGCTCAGGGAGATGGGCTGCAACTCCAGGAACCCGGTGCCTTGTCCTGCCACAACCCCTGGAGCCGGATTGTCAATGGGGAGCTCAATGGGGAGGCGTGGGGGCTCAGCCCATGGGAAAATCCAGCCCTTTCAGTCTCTCTGGGCTCTAGTTCCCCATCTGTAACATGGGGAGAACGGCCCTGCCTTGTCCTGCCACGAGCTCTCCGGGGCTGGGACGGTCTCTCCAGGCCCCTGCTTCTCAACCCATGGCCCGCTGGTGGCCCAATCAGCACACAGCTGCCGTCGACGTGACATCCTCAGGGCCATACAGGCAGGATATTGTGTGGATGCAGCCCACAATGGTAAATCAGTTGAGAAGCACTGATCTGGGCAGCGCCCGGCACAACAGGGCCCCGATCTCGGTCTGGGCAGCGCCCGGCATGATGGGGCCCTGATCTCAGTCGGGGCAGCGCCTGGCACCACGGGGCCCTGATCTTGGCTGGGGTCGGGGCAGCGCCCAGCATGACGGGGCCTGATCTCGGCCAGGGGCTGGGGGTGCTATTGTAATACACCTAACAGTAATTTAACAAGGCAGCCTTGCATGGTGAACGCCGGGTACGCAGAGGCTGGAAGGGGACAGGACGATGGCATCGAACGTGTCGTTTTTTAAAACTGCACAGAAGCCACCAGGAAATCGCGGTTCTGAGCCAAAGAAAACAGACCCAGGGCCTGTTCCTGCCCCCTTGCCCCAGGCAGGATCCGGGGTAACTGCACAGACGAGGGAAGCACAAGCAGACTCTGGCACCAAAGGCCTCCCATAAGCCGTGTGCTCAGACCCAGGCAGGAAGCTGCAATCCGCAGTCACACAGCAGAGGAAGGACCCAGCACTTTCCGCTCAGCGCACTGGTCTCCCTGAAGCTCCAGGAGCGGCTGCTGGGGGGGGGGGGGGAGGGGAAGAGGCGGGCGATGCCCCGGAGCTGAGCAAGGGGCGGTGGGGTTGGAGGGAGCATGGATGTACCCACAAGCCTGCCCAGGCTCCAGCAGTAGTCGGCGTGACACAGCACAACCAGGAACAGAAACCAGCAGCCCTGGCCTCCTCCACTGCCAGAACATGTGTGAGAAGCGGGAGCAGGCCCCGCGACCAGGCCCGGCTGGCAGCAGGGTGCGATTGCAGGCCTGAGAGATCCCATCTCACTTGTGGGGGGCGATGGGCCAGCGTGCTACACGAGCAGGCCTGGAGGCGGCACGCTGGTTTGTGATTGTAGGGTCTCAGAGAGGACAGGCTGCGGGCAGCAGTGTGTTATTGTAGGGCCTCTTGTGAATGCTACACAGGCGGGTTTGTGATTGTAGGGTCTCCTCCCCCCGGTTTGTTATCATAGGGTCTCCTCACCCACCAGTTGGTTATTGCAGGGTCTCCTAAGCACTGACCTGCCGCTGTTCATTATCAGTATTTTACAGAAGGGTTCCAGAGCATGAATTCTTTAGAAACTTCAACTCCTGCGGATAAGGAACAAGGTCCACCCAAGAGGAACTAGCCCTTGGGAGTGACTGTGGGTGCAGCTCTAGGTGGCATGACTCAGCCCAGCCTCCACCCTGCCCCGGGCAGGCGCTGCCCTCCTGCCCTGCGTGGAAAGCTTGCCCAGCCTGCCCTGGCTGCACGCGTGATGCTCCGTCTGTCTCCCACACACCATGCCTCCTGCACCTGAAACAGGTCTGCCCTTCGGCCTCACGGTGCAGGGGATCATTAACCTCACCCCTGCTGTGAGCTTTGCCTGGGGGGCCTGGTGGGCAGGGCTCCCGCCTGCCTGGCATGGGTAGCATCACAGAGCAGGGAAGCCTAGGGGCTGGGGGACATGTGGGGCAGGGATGCTGTGCAGACTGGCTCAGCCAGCAGTGATGCGGGGGGTGGGTCCTGAGACTAGGCACTCACCCTTCGCATGCCCGGGGGGGCCAGCCCTTATGCTTGGGGTTCGAGCTGCCCTGGCCTGAGCCCCCCCACCCGTGACAGACATGGCCTTTCCCAGCACCCGCGGTACCTGGTGTGACACGGCACCTCAGAGTAGCATCCTGGACCCCACATGTGACGATGTGACTCAGCAGGGAGGGGGGAGTGTTGACCTGGGAATGTGCCCTGGGGATGGGAGACCTGAGAGCCTGTCACCTGAGCCAGGAGGGGGAGGTAACACCTCTGCCCAGGAATGTGGACGGAGGCTGCAGCAGGGAACCTGCTGGGTGGGTTTAGTTTTTCAGGTTGGGGCTGGGGAGAGGAACACAGGGAACCCCAGGGCTAGGGTCTAAGCTCCCTGCTCCCCCAGAAGGACGTGATTGAGGGGTCCTGGTTGTACCCACAAGCTCTGTTGTGGACTGTGTTCCTGTTGTCCAATAAACCTTCTGTTTCACTGGCTGGCTGAGAGTCTCAGTGGATCCCAGGAAGAGGGGTGCAGGGCCTGGACTCCCCCACACTCCGTGACACCACATATCCCCCAGTCTTGTAATGAGGATCTGTGGTGTACTAAGCATGCCTGGTGAGGTGTCATTGAACATTAATAACCTGTTGGATTGTACGTGTTGTCACTGCATGCGAGGGTCTGATGCACTGCTGTGTGTGTTACTGAAATCCCCTGTGAGGCTGGGAACACCCACAGCCAGCCTTTCAGGTACAAGGGAGCAGCCAGACAGCAGTTAATGGCTCATCAACACCCATCAAGGAAGGAATCCACCGTCCTAGAGACTGTGTGCAACGGAGACGCCCGACCAACGGGGACTGACCAACTCCCACCTCACTGCATAGACCTTTCCAGCACGCTGGAGGGAAGTGATGTCATCACTTGGCCTCACTCCCCTCACAACTCAACACCTGAAAACATGGCTGGAGGCAAAGACCGAACTGGGGGAGGATGGTCCCAGCCTGTGTATTGAGGATCTGTGACCTGTTTGTACCATCGGTCAGGGTGAGACATGGCTTGAGTCATCTCCTGCTTAGCTTGCAGAACTTGGACTGCAAATTTATTTTTGTTTCTTAAGTAACCCACTCTGATCTCTACGCTTGGTACTTGTAATCACTTGAATCTCTCTCTGTGCAGTTAATAAATCTGCTTTATATTTTACCTACAACAGGGTGTTTTGGTTGAAGAGCTTGGGAAATCTCAGCTCACTTTACAAAGGCTGGTGCGCGTCCTCGCCACATCGAGGGAGGGGCAGACTGGGTAATGAACTTACGCTGGCCAGGCTTCTGACCAGGGCAAGACAGAACAGCTCTGGGGTGCACGGCTGGGGAGGAATTGGCTGGAGCCTTCTGTTGTTGGTTCAAGTGACTGGGAGATCGTTCGTGTACCGCAGCTGGGCGTGTCCCTGCTTGTGGATGGCTGTGTAAATGCAGTGCCTGTCAGAGGCTGGTAACTTGACAACAGCATCACAGGGTAAGAGGGGAGACCCCAGGCTGCTCAATCAGCAGTCACACAGCAGAGTCTCTCTGGGCTCAACACTCCCACAATCCAGGCTGCACCCCGGGGACACCGTCACACCTGGACAAACCCAGCTCCATCCGCGGCAGCCCCAAGGGCCAGACCAGTCCTCGCTCCCGCGCTGGCTGCTCCTGGCCTGCAGCCCCAGCATAGCACACGGGTTGCGTGGCCACGTGCCACATGCAGGGTGAGGCCCCCCGGGGACTGCGCTCCTGCTCGCTTCCTCCCCTCCCCTAGTTTAGGGTAAACCCTTCGGGCAAAAGGGAAACACCCCCCCGGGCTGGCAGCCCCTGCCCGGAACGCTGAGCTCGGGCGCCCTGGCGCCCCAGCCCCACAGAAGGCAGGACAAGCCAGCACCAGGCAGTGCAAGAGCGGCAGCTCTTTAATGGCCGTGCATCGGCAGGATGGGCTGTTTAACAGTCATGTTCCCAGCAAGCAGGAGAAGGCAGCCCCCCCTGCCCCCCCCAAGGGCACGGCCCAGCCTCTCTCCTGTCCACCGGGCAGCGAACAGTCACTTCCAAGCCACTTTGCGGCCCCCAGCTGCATTGTGGGAGGGCAGCGGGAAGCTGCCTCGGTGCCAGTCCCCTTTCCGCATGCGCTCAGTGGGGCCAACTCACTCAACGAGCTAGCCGCCCAAGAGGCCTCCCTGCGGCGGGCGCCGTCCCTCGGGGCTAGGGGAAGTCGCTGTAGGGCAGCCGGAAGGGGTACAGGGCGGTGTAGCGGGAGTCATGCCACAGCAGCTTCTCCTCCAGGAAGGCGAGCGTGTCCAGCGTGAGCACCAGCGTCTCGTGCTTGAGCATACTGTGCACATTGAGACCTGCGAGAGACCCAGGGCGGGGTCAAGGCGTGCCCAGCCCAGCCAGACTCTGGGCGGTGCAGGGTAGCCCAGCACCCCCTGACCACATGGCAGCTCCTGCGATGGTTCCTGACCCCTGCGGACTTCCTCCCCTCTCTGGCTGTGCACATTGTTGTGTGCTGACATACAGTCCCCACTCCCCACCCCAGAGCCAGCTGCATCTCAACACCAGGCCAGGGATCCCTCTATAAACAGCCTCCACGCCCCAGCCCAGAGCCAGCTGCATCTCAGTGGGTGAGGGGATTCTCCCCCCACCCACGCCGGGATGAGAGTCATGGAGGGCTGGTGCTTGCGGTACTGCAGGCGGGGGACGAGGTGAGGGCCAGGAGTACGAACTCCCCTTACAGGGCAGTATGCAGCAGGGAGGGAAGGCACCGCATCCCGCAGGCCAGGGCTCTCGTGAACACCCCCAGCCTGGGCCACTCTGGGAGGCCAGCGTGGTGACTTTGAGGGGCCACCCCCCGCCCCCTCCAGCACTCACCTAGGGCTGGCACCAGGGTGATGGTTTTCAGGCTGGCTGCTGCCTTCATGATGTTCTCTGGCATCTTGTTGCTGGAACAGAGGCAGAGAAGGAATCGTGAGCTCAGCCCCAGGCTGCCCCGGGGACTCCCCCCCCATGCCCGAGACCCTCCTCGAGGCTGCAAGCCAGCCGGGTGCATTGGCACGGGGCAGCAAGGAGACCAGTTCCCACTTCTCTTGGGGAAGGCTGCGAGTGCTACCCCCAGACCCCACCCCTGCAGCGCTCCCAGATCTCTTGACAGCAGGGGGCGCTCTTCCCCAGCGCTCTCCTCTCCCGCCAGGCCCCCAGATCGCGCCCTCTGCTGGGTGTCTGGGATTTACGGTTCTCCTTGGCTGAGGCCAGAGAAGGAGGCGCCGCATCTCCCCCCACCCACTCCCACTCACACGTCGACAATCAGCACGGACTGGCCCCAGTGCCTGTATTGCGCTAGGTCTGCCAGGTACTGGGGGTCACAGGTCGGCATGTCCAGGCCATCCACAATGTGCAGGTTGTCCTGGAAACACAAAACACGCTCGGTACCTTTCAGCTGCTTTACCCCCCTGCCACCATCCCCCGGAACCAGGGTGACCCCCGCATCCCCCCTCCAAGCCAGCTGAGGCCCTTCCCATCCCTGAGCCAGCCAGACCCACCCCCTTCAGCTGGCTAGGAAAGGACCTTCTAGGAAGGGGTCACAATCCCTCAACCTCCTAGTTACCAAGTGACCAGAACGCCTGGCAACAGGGCCCTGCATCTGGCTGAATGAGATCCTGGGGACCCCAGCCCACCCCTCTTCTATCTGTGAGCAAGCCAAGGGATTGTACACACAGCAGGCCAGGGCAAGAGCAGGGGCCAGAACCCAGGAGTCCTGGTTCCCAGTCCCCCTGCCCAATCTAACCCAGTCCCATAGCCAGGGACAGAAGCCAGGAGTCCCAGTTCCTATACCCCCCCCAATCTAACCCAGTCCCATAGCCCGGGACAGAACCCAGGAGTCCTGGCACTCCACCCACCCACCCACCCACCCACACACTAACAAGCCCAGCGGCCCACGAGGGCCCTGTACACAGACAGTCGCACACGCGCTACCTGCATCAGCTTGGCCGTCAGCGCCACCTTGAGGCCCAAGACCCGCACTTTCATGGGCAGCATGTAGTAGTAGCTGGTGGGGCCCCTGGGGCCATGGATGATGCCGCCTGGAAGGGAGAGGCAGCGGGAGGTCAGGAGGGATCAGTGCCCGGAGGCGGGGGCTAGGAGGCTGCATTCTATATGGCTAGGAGGCCACCTTAGATTCAGGGGCACAACAGGCTCTGCCCTGAGCAGCCCCCCCTGCTCCCATACTGCCCTGCACTGACTCCCCATCCAGGGAGCCCGGCCCGGCGCCCCGCCCCCTGCTGAACCCACACGCGCTGCGGCAGCGCCCCCAGGCAGCACCAGTCATGGGCTCCGTGGCCCCGTCTGCGCCCTGGCACACGAACAGGAGCAGGGCCCAGAGTCACGCAGCTTCCAGGGCCCTGTCTCCGTTTGCCCCCTGCCCCTCACCCGGCGTCAGGGTCAGCCCAGCCTCTGCCCAGGTGCGGGCAGAACACACGAGGACTGGGAGCCACTCACCACCGCGCCAGAGAGGGGAGCGGATGCTGCCGTGCCTGGCCCGGCCGCTACCCTTCTGCGCCCAGGGCTTCTTGCCGCCACCGCGCACCTCCGCTCGCGTCTTCACCTTGGCATAGCTCTGAAAGGAGAGTGCGGGTCAGAGCGCCCAGCGGGAGTGAGCACCTCGGACCCGCCTGACCCAACATGCCCCCACTCAATGGGGGAAACTGAGGCACAGGAGAGGGACTCATCCGACGCCACACAGAGACGGGGATTGAACCCAAGAGTCCCGACTCCTAGGCCCCCACCTCTAACCACTAGATCCTGCTCCCTCCCGGTGCTGGGAACAGAACCCAGCTGTCACTGGCCTGTGGGCACTCTCCAGCCCCCTCCTCAGACTGAGAAGCTGTCATTCCTCTCAGGTCCCCACCCCCTGGCTCTGTACACACTCACTATCCTCTTGTAGTTCCTCTGCCAGACTGCGACCGAGTGCAGAATGTCGACCCTGCAGAGGGAAAGCACAGAGAGCAGGGGGTTGGCACAGGCTGGGCTGAGTGAGACAGCAGGCGCTGTGTGTCTGGGGAGCACGCAGCAGGGGGCAGAGCGGCAGCTTAACAAGCAACATCGGGGAGCGAACACCCCAGGGTTTCAGGATTTCTCTCTGCTCTGGGTTGAAATTAGCCCTGGCCAAAGGGACCGGCTCAGCAGCCCTGGGGACAGGATCCCTGTGTTTAAGCTCAAGGCCGGCACTTGGGTGATCCCCTGCGGGGGCCGAGAGCAGTTCTGTCCCCATTGTTCAGTTTGGCTGGCTTTATCTCAGCGCAAAGGTGACTGTGGGGCCCAGGCCAGAAAACAGCTTTGAGACAACACCACCTTCAGATCGGTGCTGACTCGGGGCCGGATCAGAGCCGGCACCCCTAGAGGGGAAAGGCCCCATGTCCCATCCCCTGTCCCCCTGAGCCAGCCAGCCCCCCTCCACCTTGGGGCCAGTTTGGGGCCTGACTTTCCTAAAGTGGAATGATCCTGCCCCATTTCCCCTGTGCTGGGGCTGAATTGGAACTGGTGTCCCCTTAAGTGGAATGGTCCCGTGTCCCATTTGCCCAACCCCCTCCGAGCCAGCCAGGCCCCCAGGTCGTTTGTCCAAAGGTTGACTTTGGTTACAGCAGCAACAGTAACAAAATCCTCTCTCCCTGTGTTGCCACGGCTCATTCGTCCTTAACCCAGACACTCCCCGGGCTGACGACTCGTCTCTGAACCGTACCGGGGCATTACTGCAAAGACATCGGGATGCAGGTCTGCTAGGCCCACATGTCTGTCATCATAGTGCCTCAGGGACTCCACCCAGGCCTGCATGGCTGTGCGGTGAGAGGGGATTGCAAGGCGGCAATCCCGGAGGACAGGGGCGCTGGAGGTCATCGGGGGCGGCTTTTCTAGGGGACACAAACAAAAGAGGTCTGAGCAGCCACTGCAGAGCCCGCATGCTTTGTGCAGCCACAAGCAGATCACAGCAGCCTCTGGCCAGGAATAACTGGCCCATTTTCAGCCCAGGGTACGTGATGGTCACAGTCTGTCCCGGTTAAACTGATCATCCCTGATTGACAACACATAACAAATCACTCTGCTAAGGCAGGTAGCAGAGGCCAGGTGCTCTTCTCCAGCAGAACCACAACCCACTGCATAATTCAACTCCAACAGCCAGCCAGGCACCATCACACACACAGCAAAGCAGACAACAGAGCGCCAGAGCAAAACTGGCTCTCTGGCCACCCTACGCTCGCTGGCCAGAGCTATCAAACACACCCAAGAGCACAGTCTGCCTGCAACAGTGACCAGGCAGCACCTGGATCTAGTGGCGAGGGCACAGGGCAGAGACACAGGAGACCTATTCCCACTGCTGCCCAGCTCGGTGACCAAGGGCAAGTCCCTTCGCCCCTCTGCGCCTCAGTTTCCCCTCTTGCCTTTGTCTGTTTAGACCGGGGCAATCAATAGACGGACTGCAGGCTAAATCTGGACCGCCAGATGCTTCTGAATGGACCCCAAAATCTTTTTATTTACTTATTATCATGATTGTTATGTTTGAATTATTTTATCTGGAGTCTGGACCTTGACTATATCTTGAACAAGAAACGTGGACCGTGACAACAAATAATTGACTACCCCGGTAGACTGTGAGCTCTTTGGGGCAGGGGAACACCTCTCACTCTGAGTCTGTGCAGCGCCCGGCATGTTGTGGGCCCTGACCCTCTGTCAGGGGCCTTTGCGGTGCCCATCACCGCAAGGGCCCTGAACCACAGTCAGGGTCTCCGGGTGCTACTGTAATACAAATAAACAACAGTACAAACCCCCCACCCCCACATCAGAGGATGAGCTGACCTCTAATGGAGGTTTGGAAGACACTTCCCCTGGGGGACGGTTATCCCACTGCTACTTCCTGCAGGGTCCCCCACCCTGCAGCAGCCAGTGCTGTCCACTGTCACACCCAGGAGACTAATCCAGCCAGCACCCCTGGCCTCTTCCAGCCGTCTGGGCCTTGCGCAATCCCTGCACTTCTGCTTCTCATGGCACCTGCGATATCATCTCAAACCCGGCCACCACACAGAGTCCGGGCACAGGAACCGCAGAGGCAGGATTTTAGAACCACGAACGGGACTCACCCGCCTGGGATGCGGCATCCTGCAGACGTGGGGAGGTTGCGGGAGCCTCGGGGCGCCCCGGCTGGCCAGACACAGTGGACAGAGCCTTGGAGAGGAAGGAAAGACAAGTGGAGGGAGGAGTCAAGCACAGAGCAGCGAGGGGAACGGCGCAGCGGTGGCAGTCGCACGTCGCACTGGTGCGGCCCCAGGCACCCTGCTCCAACGCTGCGCCGCCAGGGCCACCCTGGTCCCGGCGAGGGGGAAATCGCGCCCCTCGGCCCCACAGCTGCTGTCCTTGGAGCAGGGGGGGTTGCCTGCCGTATACGCTGCCCCTACAGGAGGGGGCTGCCAGCAGGGCCGGTCCCCGGCCGGCAGGACCGGACCAGCGCAGAGTTTGAACCCCGCGCTGGAGGACTTCGCTACATCGCCGGAGAGGGAGGCTCGGGGCGGGGGGCGCAAAGGGGCAGCCCCCTCCTCCCCGCCCGCGGGGCGACGCCCTGCCCTCTGCCCCCCACAGGGCCCCATCACCCCCGAGCGCCCTCTGACCTTTGACCCCGAGAGCCCTCTGCCCCCACAGGACCCCGTCACCCCTGAGCGCCCTCTGACCTCTTCCCTCTGACCCCCACAGGCCCTTTGACCCCGAGAGCCCTCTGCCCCCCACAGGACCCCGTCACCCCTGAGCGCCCTCTGACCTTTGACCCCGAGAGCCCTCTGCCCCCCACAGGGCCCCATCACCCCGAGCGCCCTCTGACCTTTGACCCCGAGAGCCCTCTGCCCCCCACAGGACCCCGTCACCCCTGAGCGCCCTCTGACCTCTTCCCTCTGACCCCCACAGGCCCTTTGACCCCGAGAGCCCTCTGCCCCCCACAGGGCCACTTCACCCCCTGAGCGCCCTCTGACCTCTGACCCCCACAGGCCCTTTGACCCCGAGAGCCCTCTGACCCCCACAGGACCCCATCACCCCCGAGCGCCCTCTGACCTCCGCCCTCTGACCCCCACAGGCCCTTTGACCTCTGCCCCGCCCCCTTCGGCCCCCTCACCCGCGCGGCCGCGCCCCGGCCCCAGAGCCGGCTCCCAGCCCGGATCATGGCGCCCCGGCCCCGGCAAGAGGCGCCGCCGGCCCCACGTGAGCGCCCAGGAACGGCGGCGGCGGCGGCGGCGGCGGGGGGTGAGACAGAGCCGCTTCCGGCGCATGCCGATGACGTATAGGGGGCGGGGCGCTCTCTCTGGGCTTCTAGGGGGCGGGGCTGAAGGCACTTCCGGTTGGCGGGAAGGGGGAGCGAAGCGGGGAGGGGAGGTGTTGGGGTAGCGCCCATCACGGGGGGGGAGCGGGGGAGGGGAAGGGGGAGGGGGAGCGAGGGATGGGGGAGGGGGAGAGGATGGGAGAGCGGGGGGAGGGGAAGGGGGATGGGGGGAGCGAGGGATGGGGGAGGGGGAGAGGATGGGAGAGCGGGGGAGGGGAAGGGGGATGGGGGGAGCGAGGGATGGGGGAGGGGGAGAGGATGGGGGGAGCGGGGGAGGGGAAGGGGGATGGGGGGAGCGAGGGATGGGGGAGGGGGAGAGGATGGGAGAGCGGGGGGAGGGGAAGGGGGATGGGGGGAGCGAGGGATGGGGGAGGGGAGAGGATGGGGGAGCGAGGGATGGGGGGGGGGGAGAGGATGGGAGAGCGGGGGAGGGGAAGGGGGATGGGGGAGCGAGGGATGGGGGAGGGGGAGAGGATGGGAGAGCGGGGGAGGGGGAAGGGGGATGGGGGGAGCGAGGGATGGGGGAGCGGGGGAGGGGAAGGGGGAGGGGGAGCGAAGGATGGGGGAGGGGGAGAGGATGGGGGGAGCGGGGGAGGGGAAGGGGGAGGGGGGAGCGAAGGATGGGGGAGGGGGAGAGGATGGGGGGAGCGGGGGAGGGGAAGGGGATGGGGGAGCGAGGGATGGGGGAGGGGGAGAGGATGGGGGGAGCGAGGGATGGGGGAGGGGAGAGGATGGGGGGAGGGGGGGAAGAGAAGGGGGATGGGGGAGCGAAGGATGGGGGAGAGGATGGGGGAGCGAGGGAAGGGGGAGAGGATGGGGGAGCGGGGGGATGGGGGAGGGGGAGAGGATGGGGGAGCGGGGGAGGGGAAGGGGGGAGCGGGGGATGGGGGGAGCTGGGAAGGGAGATGGGAGGAGCGGGGGAGGGGGAGAGGATGGAGGAGCGAGGGATGGGGGAGGGGGAGAGGATGGGGGGAGCGGGGGAGGGGAAGGGGATGGCTCTAGACTGTTCTCAGTGGTGGCAGATGACAGAACGAGGAGTAATGGTCTCAAGTTGCAGTGGGGGAGGTTTAGGTTGGATATTAGGAAACACCATTTCACTAAGAGGGTGGTGAAACACTGGAATGGGTTACCTAGGGAGGTGGTGCAATCTCCTTCCTTAGAAGTTTTTAAGGTCAGGCTTGACAAAGCGCTGGCTGGGATGATTTAGTTGGGGATCGGTCCTGCTTTGAGCAGGGGGTTGGACTAGATACCTCCTGAGGTCCCTTCCAACCCCATAGTCTATGATTCAATGACCCAGAGCATTTCTCTGGCCACTGCTGCACAGGAATGGCCACCCCAGGTCGCAGGCACAGGGAGAGAACCTGGATTTGTGCAGGAAATGGCCCACCTTGATTATCATGCATATTGTGTAGAGAGTTGTCACTTTGGATGGGCTATCACCAGCAGGAGAGTGAATTTGTGTAGGGAGGTGGAGGGTGAGAAAACCTGGATTTGTGCTGGAAATGGCCCAACTTGATGATCACTTTAGATAAGCTATTACCAGCAGGACAGTGGGGTGGGAGGAGGTATTGTTTCATATTCTCTGTGTGTATATAAAGTCTGCTGCAGTTTCCACGGTATGCATCCGATGAAGTGAGCTGTAGCTCACGAAAGCTCATGCTCAAATAAATTGGTTAGTCTCTAAGGTGCCACAAGTCCTCCTTTTCTTTTTGTCCCAGCTGAGTGCGTCTGAAGAAAAGCTTGTAGGAGCGGAGCAGGAGGATGGGCCAGGAGCCCTGGGTTCAAGTCCTTGGCTGAAGCACTGAGGCTCTGGGGGGGCTCAGCTGCCATCTGTAGAAAGGGGGCCTTGCTTCCTGACTATGGTGAACAACTGTGAAACAATGGGATCGGGGTGGGGGGTAATAGGCACCTGTATAAGAAAAAGCCCCCCCAAAACGGGACTATCCCTATAAAAATGGGACATCTGGTCACCCTATTCCTGACTGCAGGGGGAGTGAGCACAGAGCGTGGGCCGGTGGTGATGGGGCCGGAGCAGCACCTAAGTCAGAGCCACGGGTGAGAAATAGCTCATTAGACCAGACAGTCACTTGGTCATCAATAGAGGCTCTAGGTTGTGGTTTATGTTTTTCTTAGTTTCTCACCGTATGTTTCCAAACCCTGACACTTGCTTTTATCTGAAGCTTTCTCTCAAGCTCTCTTCTGTACATTCACTGTAACCCTAAGTGCCTTGTGCTAAGGGAGAGTCTTGGTCTGAGATGAAACCACACCACTGAACTGGTGTGCCCTGTTTCCAGGGAGGCAGTGGATCCGTGTTCATTGTGGGGGTCCAGACAATGGACTGGACCTTGGGTGTAATGAAGTGGGGTGTGTGAATAGCTCGCCTGACGAGGAAAAGAATTGCCGCCAGCCGGTGGCTGGGGAGAATTTCCTCTGGTGGGCAGACAGGGCTCCCCCCGCTATGAGCAGGTGGTAGTGATTCCCCCTGGACACCCCAGGTAACCCTAAGCAGTGTCACAGTTCTGCTGGTCTGATTTCCCTGTTCGAGGATGTCACGGAGTCCCTGGGCGATGCTCTGGAACTGCTCCCCATGAAGTCAGTCAGGACTCTGGGATAGTCGCCTTTCTGTGAGCAGCCTGTCTTCAGGACACACAGCTCACCCGGCTTCCACCTTCCTGGGTCTGACCTCGGAGCATTCAGCATCCTCTGCCTCTCCGTGTGCTTCCCCCAGCGAGTCCGCTCAGGCGGGGCTCCTGGGGAAGCCAGAGGGTCCTGCACCCCAACTTCGCAGTCAGACGTGACTCTCAGCCAGCCAGTAAAACAGAAGGTTTATTAGACGACAGGAACATGGTCTAAAACAGAGCTTGCAGGTGCAGAGAACGGGACCCCTCAGCTGGGTCCATTTTGGGGGGCAGTGAGCCAGACAACCACGTCTGCACTTCACTCCATGTCCCAGCCAGCCCCAAACTGAAACCCCTCCAGCCCCTCCTCCTCTGGGCTTTGTTCCTTTCCCGGGCCAGGTGGTCACCTGATTCCTTTGTTCTCCAACCCTTCAGCTCTCACCTTGCAGGGGGGGAAGGGCCCAGGCCATCAGTTGCCAGGAAACAGGGTGTCGGCCATTCTCTGTGTCCAGATCCCTGCACACACCTGCCCTCTAGGGCTCTGCAATGATCATACACCCTTACCCCACCACCTAGATACTTAAGAACTGCATAGGGAAACTGAGGCACCCCCACACTATTCAGAGGAAACATTAAGAACAGGCCCACTTCGTCACATCTCTCCCCCCTTCGAGATCGAACTGAGCGGGGTCACTTTACCCGGTGACCTGGGGAAGTTTGAAGCCACCAATGTTCCCATGGATGCCCCAGCATCTCTCCCGTTCCTTGGTAGGAGTTACACCAGGCCCTTCCAGTTTCACGCCCTCCCTTAGGTCGGGGGTGGTCGATAGCACTCGCAGGCCGCATGTGGGAAGGTTTATGCAGCCCATGCCCTTTGGCCACCCCAAGAATGTCTCCCCATTGACCATCACCTTCTGCTCCCACTGGAGGTCCGAGGGGCCTGGCCCCAGGAAACTCCACACAGACATATAGGTTGGGGTCAGGAGTGGGAGCCTGTCCACATCCCCAACCATCTGGCTGACGGAGTCTGTGGCCTTGGGACCCAGCAAGGGAGCTAGACACCAGGGCTTTTCCGCAGGGTCCCCCTGGTTCAAATCGTCAGCCTGCTCAAAGGCAGTGAGGTGGGCATCCACACACCCCCCCTCCTTAACCAGGGGCAGCAATTTAGTCTCGAGGTTCCCTGCGGAACTGGCCCCCCGGGATCTATCCCCACTCACCCCGGGGAGGTCCCCTCGGCCTCTCCGCCCCACCACCGCCAGTTCATCCTGCTGCTGCTTCTGCAGCTCTTTCTCGGGCTCTCGCTGTCTCCCAGGGTCCTCTTGCTCTCTCAGACTCCGCTCCAATCCCGTCCGTCTCGATCCCCCGATGGGGAACCCGATCGTGAAGACCCCCGTCTGGTCGGGGACAGGAGTCTTGGCGATGCCTGGCTCCCGCTCCAGCTGCTCCCAGATCCTGCTATAGCCCCAGTTGGGGTCAGGAATCTGTTCCTTAGAGCGATCATCCTCCTCCAGCTGCACGATTAACTCTGCTTTGGTGAACTTTCCAACGCTCAACCCTCTCTTTCTGCACAGGGTTACAATGTCCTTCTTAAGGAGACGGTGACAGGCCATCACTCCGCTCCTCCCAAGTTGTTGTGGACTCACAGGCCCGTGTGCTCTCAGCTCCCCACGGTTTCCAGGGAGAACCCCTAGTGTGCCAGCCCTTCTCGAGGTCACCACCTCTTTGCCAGGGTCGAGCTGCAGACTCCTCCGCCCCTGAGACTGCTCACTGCAGTCCCCAGGAGGATCCCATTACTGCACAGTCCTTCTCGCTGGTCACACACTCCCAGGGGTTAACCGCCCCCGAAACCGCTCCTTTCTGAGCCTTCAGCAGGCCTGGTCCTCGGCAATCCCCCTTCGTGTTACTGCTCCCCAGTCACTTACTGCAGGAAGCACCATCCACGGGGTGCAGTACATCCCACCGCTGCCACCAGTTGTCACGGAGTCCCTGGGCGATGCTCTGGAACTGCTCCCCATGAAGTCAGTCAGGACTCTGGGATAGTCGCCTTTCTGTGAGCAGCCTGTCTTCAGGACACACAGCTCACCCGGCTTCCACCTTCCTGGGTCTGACCTCGGAGCATTCAGCATCCTCTGCCTCTCCGTGTGCTTCCCCCAGCGAGTCCGCTCAGGCGGGGCTCCTGGGGAAGCCAGAGGGTCCTGCACCCCAACTTCGCAGTCAGACGTGACTCTCAGCCAGCCAGTAAAACAGAAGGTTTATTAGACGACAGGAACATGGTCTAAAACAGAGCTTGCAGGTGCAGAGAACGGGACCCCTCAGCTGGGTCCATTTT